TTTTTATAACTCGTGAAGATTCCTTACCATGGTAGGACCCCAGTCCACCCTGAACGATATGCCAAGTAGAGAGAAGACACAAGATACTAATGTGTGTCGTTTTCAGGGGACCCTGGCTGAGGTATGGGCTGTGAGGGAGTGAGTTTGGGCAGGTGGGATAGAGTTGTACAGCAGAGTTTGGTTTTGACCTGTGAAAGTTATGGTGAATAATTTCTAGGTCATGGAGCCTCACTGAGGATCTTAGGTAGGAGAGTGACATAAGTCTGGTTAATGAAGTGTGCCAAGGAAGCCTACACAGATGTTCTTGTAACTCTAAGAGTCTCCAAGGACTACTTGAGCAAGGGGCAGTGAGGATAGAGGAAGGGGTAGCACTCAGTGACCTCTCAAAGGTAGGTCACCTGTGGGAAAAAAGGGGTCAAGAACTACTGGGAGCAGCACGCCAAAGCGTGGGAGGAAGATCAGCTTTAAGGAGAGCTGATGTGTTACATTTTTGTCAAATTTGAGGTTGACTCAGAACATGTGTGTGACAACATCTAGTGAGTTCTTAGAATATGTTTAGAGATGAGACAGCAGTGAATTGAAAATTCGCTTTAACAGCTGAATTTTGGAGACTTTCTATCTTTTTCATTTTCAAGTATGTCCACTGAGTAATTTGTCCCTCCACCTTCTTTTTTTCTTAAATGAGAAAATGTGTAGAAATTTTATATGTCGTTGAGCACAGTTCCTATGCAGATTTCGTAGGTTCCCAGTAATTGGCACGGCTTTCTCTGCACTCGGTGGCCTCATTTATAAGATTTTTGTCAACGTTTTTTCTTTAACATAAACATGAAAGGTGACTTACTATTAGTCTGTATTATCATCACTGATCCTTAGAAGTCTTTTTCTGATTTTTTGATTTGTTTATTTTTTAAATTTTGCAATAGGGCAGATGCACCCCCCAGAGAGAAACAGAGACAGAGGGAGAGAGGGAAAGCGAGCAGATACCTCCTCAGGGAACAGTCACGCCATAATCCCTTCTCCATTTCTCTTTTCAGGCACATTGGCACATGCCACTGGGTCTGGGACTCAAACCTGATGCTGGTCCTGAGGAATCTAGCAGCCTTAACCACCACATCACCAGCCGACCTGTTTTATTAATTTTTTTTTATTAATTCTCTTGTACCTTAATTCTCTACTATCAACTCCTATGAACAACCATTCTCATTGGTTGAATGTGTACATTTTAGTTGCAAGGGTTCTCGAAAAAATGTGTATTTGGGAGGGCAGAGGGACTTATGATTTTTAAAAATTATTGTATTATGTATTATTATTATTATTTAAGTCTGCCAAACAGCACATGTGCTCACCAAAGAGAGACAGAGAGAGAGAAAGGGAAAGTGAGAAAACAAGCCATCATGTCCAGGACTGAAACCATGTGGAAGTCCAGTGCCTTCACCTCCATGCCACCTGCTGGCCCCCAGGGGCTTATGATTTTAATTTAGGTAGGAAGTGCTGTGTTATATTTCATCGTGTGTCATAGTCTACTTTTCACGGCACGGAGACAACTGCATTTCTGTCTACTCTTCGGTGATGTCCTCAGACTGCCTCCTCCTTCTTACCATCACAATGGCGCTGTGATTGTACTTACCTGCACACCTTTCCTTTATGCTTTTTTTGGCAGTAATTTCTCTGAGATATGTAAGTAAAAACAGTACACATAACAAGCATATTTTTAAATCTGACTTAGCAAATCCAGGCTGCTCTGTGAATGGCTGGGCCGATCTGCCATCCACTCGTTCATGCTTGAATGTTACTCTGTCCCCACATCTCTGCCAAAACTTGGCATCATGCAGCTTTTGAATTTTTGCCATTCTAGTAAGTATTAAGTGATAGCTCATTTTTTCTTTTTTTTTAAAGACTTGTTTATTTTATTTGTTATTATTATTTTTTATTTGATGAGAGAGAGAGAGAGAAAGGGAAAGTGAGAAAGTAAGCTGCCAGGTCTGGGACTCAAACCTTAGTCAACCATGTGGGAGTCCAAGCATCTTAACCACTACACCACCTGCCGGCTCCTCTTTTTTCTTTTCTTTTTTTTAATGGTTGTTAGTGGGTCAGACATCTCTTCATGTCATTGCTCATGTTGTCTTTCTCTATTTTCAGTTTCTATAATCTTTCAGTTTCTTAAAAATAAGGATGTATGCTTATTACATTATTTATATTATTATTATATTTCCCAGAGTTTTCTATGTCCTAAATAACAATCATATATCATTTTTACCTTTTATTATTGTCCCATAGTTCTTGGATATTCGATTTCCTTCTCTTTTTTTCTTCTCTCATGTTTATTGTCTTTGTTTTTCAGTTTGGACAGTTGCTATTGACACATCTTCAAATTCACTCATTCTCTCTTCATCTCTCTCCAGCCTGCTGATGAGCCCATCAAAGGCATTCTTTGTTTCTGTTATCATATTTTGGATTTCGAGCATTTCCTTTCTAATCTTTCCTAGCATTTCTTTCTGTCTGCCTACATAACCCATCTGTTCTAGCATACTGTCCACTTTTTTTAATTAGGGCTCTCAGTTTATTAATCAGAGTGTTTTTTTAAAAAAAATTTGCTATAAGGCAAATGCATTTGCTGGAGAGAGACAGAAAGAGAGAGCGAGGAGAGAGAGAGCAAAATATGAGAAAACACCCCAAAGAGGGGATAGCCACACTGAAATCCCTCCCCCTCCATTCTCTTCTCAGGAGCCTGAGCAAGCATGTACATGCCTGACATGTTTTTCAAGGTGCTGGGTCCAGGTCTCAGACCAAGCAGTTGGACATGTGATATCCAGCTGCCTCAATCACCAGCTGGCCCCAATCAAAATGATTTTAAATTATTTTTCTGATTATTCCCAGATTTCTGTCATATCTGGTTCTGATTCAGGCTGTGTTTTTTTGCTTTGTGCATGCCATGTAAGCTTTGATTGAAAGCTAGACATGATGTCTCAGGTAAAAGAACTGAGGTGCATAGGCCTTTAATATGAGGTTCTGTGTCTCTGTGGCTAGAAGTCAAGCTGTTTACTCTGCTGTAGCTATAGGTGTCAAAATTTCCTCTAGTGTCCTTGCTTATTTTTTTCCCTCTGGTGTTACCTTTGGGTTTTCCTAGAGCCTTCTTCTTAAGTAGAATCTGAGCCTTGAACTTCTTTTAGTTTTAATTCCCTTTTATACAGGAATATGATATGATAGTAAGGTGAGCAGGAAAAGAGAAGCAATCTGTAATCCAACTATTAGGTCTCAGTCTTTTAATGAGCATGAGCCCCTGAACTGTGACTTTCCAAGAACTTCATAGATTTTTTTTCCCTTTAAGTGCGACAAGAATGCTAAAGGGAGATGGTGTTGGGTATTCCTCCTCTTCCCCAGTTTAAAGGGGAAGAGTTGAAGCTTCTCCCTCATCTCATATTGTTCAGCTCTTGCAAAACTCAAGTTGTTCAGGTTTTGTCAAAATAGTATTTCTTGAGGGCAGGTCTTTGTTAAGCACAGAATACTCTGTTGCTCTGAGTGTGTTCAAATGGTTACTTTTTCTCTCCTTTGCCTGATCATGAGAGGGATTTTTTTTTTTCTGTGTTTGCAATGACAACCTGGTGGACCTTCTGCATGTGAAACTAGAGCTGGGTCCCTAGGAGTTTTATCAGTCAAGCTGGTCCACGTTCAAGCTCTGTTGTACTGTTAATAGTTGTGGGCTCCGCGGGCAGCTTCCACTTCCAGGAAGCTGTAATTCTCTCTATGCACCTGGGCTACAGGTGCTGACAGTACTGCATTAATAGTGTTTCCGTATTTGGGGGGCCTGCAAAAAGAATACAGCTTTTTAAAGATAGAGGGGACTATCTTTCCAATCTCAAGATGGCAGCTTTGCTATGGTCTAATTTCTCAAGGATCTAAGAAAAGTTGTTGAGTTTTAGTTTGTTCGGCTTTGTTTCCATTCTGAAGATAGAAGTGATAACTTCATACATCTTTATAAATTAGACCAAATAATAGAAGTTGCATGTCACTTTTGGATATCATAAATAGTTTTTTCTCATTCTGTCATGTTTTACTTATCCATAGTTGCTGTTTAGTGAACAGAAACCATTAGTAAGTATGTCCTAATTTCATTGCTAGTTCTGCCATTAGGTTTGTCCTTTCAAAATCTTGTTCAATGTCTTTCCTCAGACTCTCCTTCACCCACACTCTTCCCACACTGTATCTGGTATTAATAGAGAGGCAAGGCATTTATGGGACAAAGAAATGGGTTATCATCTGTTAAAGATAAGGTGTGTAGTATTCTCAACTGGAGTGATGAAAAATGTATACATGTTGGAATATTCACTTTGTGAGCTAAGTGACATATGTGATTGCATAAAAGAAATCGAAATTTAAAAATGCATTAAAAAGTCTTGTTCAAGATTTTTCCCTACTCCTAGTTGAAAAAGATATTTCTCTCTCTCTCTCTCTCTCTCTCTCTCTCTCTCTCTCTCTCTCTTAATTCGCTGTAATTTTACTTTTTACATTTGGGACTTTTCCTCTGGTGTTAAGGAACTCTCCCATTTTGGTTTCTTCCATATTGTGTGGCTGTTTTCCCAAAGGAATCTTTGAAATGTTCCATTCTTTCCTACTTGACTTATGGTATATTAAGTTCCCACTTACACAGCCTCCTCGCTCCTAGGTTTTATTTTATTCCACTGGTCTATTTGCCTGGTCCTGTCACAATACGATGGTGTCTTAATACTAAGTCAATATCTAGTAGGATGGATTCCCCTCTTTCTTCAGGTTGAATGCACTATTCAAAAATCTACTTTTAAACTCTATTTCTCCTTGGCTTGTCTCTGTGCCTGTTTCTCCCCCTTTTAGTAAATAAAGAGCATAGAAATTCCTTTAAGGCAATGTTTCAGATAAATATCCCTTTTCTTTAAATATGAGGGGATATTCAAAATTTGAGGAAAATGTGTATTAAGAAAAAACAAGGTGGATTTCTAATTTTTTGCACTAAAATAAACTCATACTTAGATTCTATTTTCCCGTGAATGTTTTGAAGTCCGCTCGCAGAAGCATACAGCTGTTAGTGCAGCGCCGTCAGCACCTGCCGTCCAGGCCACATCTGCAACAACCCCATGTGAGGCTGTGGCTCCCTCTCCTCTAGCTCACGCTGCAGCCCGGGTTCGCACTGTTGATAAAGATGGCCGTGGTCTTCTCTGATGGAAAGAAGGGGAACCACAAATTGGATTCATTCGTTTAGGTACTCAGCCAGCTTACAAGACTCTACTCTTAGAAGTCATCTAGTATAACTAGTTACTAATTTTCTAGGTGAAAGTATGGAAGACCCATAAAGATCTCATGACTTCATCTAAACGGACTCAAAAATCAGATTTTATTTCTTCTTTTTAAGGTTTATGTGCTTCTTCCATGGCTGAGAGAAAGAGAGAGCATTCCAAACAGTCTTGACATCACAATCCCCCCGCCCCCAGCGTCAGCCAGCCCCAGTTCATGGTCACATGCACAGCCAGAATACTCAGTGCAGTCTCTTGACATGGACCTGGGACCTTCCCCTGTGGGTCAGCCTTGAAGAACGTCATGCTTTACCACTGCAAAACCATCTGACCCCTCACTGTTTCTCTCTTCATTGCTTCAACCACCTGCTATAACATATGTCTTCTTTCAGCACACAGGGCAGATGGTGGTTGAAGTGGTACATTCTGAGAGATCAACCCATAAATGCTCTGTTCCTTTTGTTTCTCATGGATGGTTAGGAATGCTGTGCATTTTCCACGTGAAGCATCAAACGTGAATCAGGGCCTTATTTCTGGCACGAGTTGGAATTCCCTTTCTTGTTTACTGACAACTTTAGACATCTTGGGTTCCAGGATTTAAGTAAAATAAGGTAGATTTCAAAGTGTACAGCAAATATTTTGAAGACAAAAATGCTCTGACTGAGAGAAAGGAACTGAATTAGCAACTGCAGTGACCTAACTGGCCTACTATTGACAGATGACTAATTAATTCTGTACACACAGCTGTTAGAACCAAAGTGGGGACAAGGCTGGCCACATTGTTAACATAAACCATGTATCATTAAAAGTTAATATGCGGTTTCCTTTAAGAGGCTACTCCTGGATGACAACGATATTCATCAAACGATAGTTACAACAGAAAAGACAGAATATCACACTGCTTTCTAGTAAGGAAAAAAAGGCCCAAGAAATAACAGTATGTCAAGATAACATATATTGTATTTACTAGAAGAAATATTGTTAGACTTTTTAGTTGTTTGTTTTCTGTTTGTATTTTTTTTTTTTTTCCGGTAGGGCATGTGTGCTGGTGGGGGAGGCAGATACAGAGAGAGAAAGTAAGGAAACACCCTTTGGGGGAAATGGTCATGCTTCAGTCCCCTCTCCACTATTCTCCTCAAGATTTGGAGCACACACATACATGTGCCCAGTGTAATTTCCAAGTCTCTGGGTGTGGGGCTCGAACTTCACAGTTGGGATCCAGCATCTTAACTTCCACACTACCAGCTGGTCTTTGTTAGAGTATTTTTAATGGCTCATAATTTGTCTTGGTCTTGAAGAATCTTCCCTTCTGGGCAGACCAGCTTTTCACATAAACTGGGATGAAATCAGTACATTTCACTTTCTCCATTTGGATGGCCACGCATACCTTGCAAACACACCTGGCATGACTTTCAAGCCACCAGGTTCGGAACTTGAACCACGGTCGACCGTGTGAGAGTGCACCAGCTTAAACACTATGCCATCTACCGGTCCCTGATAATCTAATTTTAATTAGTATATGTAGGCCATTTAAATTTAATGTAATTATCCATATGTTCAGATTTAAGTATACCAAGTATTATTCATTGTATTTTTCTCTTACTCTTTATCTACTTTTTTCTATTATTTAAGTATTTTTAGCATTTCATTTTAATTTTTCTATTGGATTTTTTGACAATGTGTTATTTTACTTTTGCTATTCTAGAGAGTATATTATGGACACCTAAAATTTCACACTCAGTTGCCGGCATGGTGTTCTTTGACTTTATCCTGTTTACCATTCGCTGGGCTCCTTGAGTCTATAAGTGTACATATTTAATAAACTTCAAGAGTTTTCAACCAGATTTCCTTAAATATGGAGCATCAATTTCTTTCTCCTCTCCTCTGGTACTCCAGTGGCATAACTAAGTTCTTTCAGTATTATGCCATAGATTTCTGAGGCTCGATTTACATTTAAAGATCTTGTCATTCTCTGCTTTTCACATTGTTTCATTTCTATTGATCTACCTTTAAGGTCACCAATTTTTTCCCCTTTTAATTCCATTTGGCTAAGAAGATAGCACATTCAGCTTTTGGTTTTGTTTTAGATATCCAACTTTTGTGTTATAAAATGCTTTGTATAATCTATTTTTTCTGGCCAAGTAATGTTAACTTTGTACCATAAACACTTTCAATATTATGATGTTTAGACTCTGAGTCTTGTTAATAGCCTCTGGAGAATTTTATTTTTTTCCCCCACAGGTGATCCAGATGGTTGAGTTTAAACTGAGAATTCAATGCCAGTTCAGTTTTCAGAGTCATAGTAATACTGACGCTTGGCTCTGTCTTCTGCATGTCCGTTCAGGGATGAGCCTGGGCTTTCCACTAGTTAGTACACAGAATGAGAGTATTTCCTTCTCCAGTTCTCTCCTGGCTGAGATTCGCACATATGCCTTCTCCTAGTATTCTCAACAGAAAGCTATGGTTTTCTTCAATTCTTGCTGCTAAGCACATTAGAGAAGACCACATCAAAACAAGACCACTGGAGCCAGTAGGTGGCATAGTGGTTAAGGCACTGGATTCCCACATGGCCAATCATGGTTTGAGTCTCAGACCTGGTGGCTTGCTCTCTCACTTTCCCTTTCTCTCTCTCTGACTCTGGTCAAATTAAAATAGTAATAATAAATAAGTTAATTAATTAAATAACTTTTTAAAAAGACCATGAATCACATGTAGAAAGTCCTCTTTAAGTAAGATACCATGGTTTGAATGTGTCTGTCCAAAAGCAGGTGTTGTTAACTTAATCCCCAGTGCAGCAGTGTTGAAAGATGGGGACTAGCAGGCCTATCTTGATATGGATACCATACTTCAGCTGTGAAATATTGGTTTCCTTGGCCAAAAATGAAGATTTTCTGCTGAGAAGTCCCCCCCCCCTCCAGACTCATTTCTAGTGGGCAGAGATAGCTCTGTGTCTCTTTCTCTTCATTTCTGTCTGGCTTTCTCTCTCGCTGTGTCTCCCTGTGATTTTTAATTAAAAAAAAATATTTTCAAGGTAAAGTATTCTCTGTATCATTCATTGTGTTAATTGGTGCCTTTCCATCATAAAGTGAGGAAAGGCACCAGCAAAGCTAGGCCTACCCTGATATGGATACCATACTTCAGCTGTGAAATACTGCACACCACGTGGTTTTCATTTTTGCTTTTTAAAATTACAACCTTATGATTTTTATCTTATTTATTTCTTTTTCTTTTTCATTTTATTTTTCTTCTTCCTTCCTCTCCTTAATTCTTTTTTCCTTTTTTCTTTCTTCATTTTCTGATCAGCCTCTGCACACTAAGTGTCTAGACAGGTCCAAGTGAACAATTTCCAATCATCTGAATATGATTAGGGTCAGAATACTCTTCTCTTCACCCTGAATCTGATGCACAAAGAGTGAAAATGGGACAGAAGAAAGATTGCAGATCACCTCCTTCTGCTTGCCTCTGAATGTTCAGATTGAACTTCAAGAATCAGGAAGAAATGTACTATCCATCTGATGACTAGAAATCACTGCAGGATCACAAGTAATTTGGGAAAGTAAGACAATATCTCTCCTCCAAGGGAAAAGAATAATACCTCTTCATCCTCAGAAGAATAATACCCTTCATCCATGAAACTCATGGAAATGTCTGATAAGGATTTTAGAATATTCATAATGACAAAGCTAAAAGAGGTGGAAGAGAAGAGAGACAATAAACTGCAGAAGAGTCAGGAGAAAAGAGCTGATGAGTTTCAGGAGGTGAGGAAATTCTTGCAAGTTCTAAAAGAGGAAATATGCACTATAAAAAAGAATAAATGGACATGTTAGAGATGAAGGCTATAATACAGGAAGTCAGAATCTCCCTTGAAAGTATTAAAAGCAGACTAGATCATATAGAAAATCGAATCTCAGATGTAGAAGATAGAATCTCTGGCCTAGGAAATTCCATCAAGAAGACTGAGAAAATAGTCCCCAAAATGAGAATAATATACGAGAAATACTAGATACCATCAAATGTCCAAACATCCAGATAACTGGTATCCCAGAAGGCGAAGAGACTCATAAGGACATTGATAATCTATTCCATGAAATCCTGGAAGAAAACTTTCCAAACCTAGAGAGGCACTCAAAGATCCAGTCCCGAGAAATACAAGGGACCCCAGATAGAATCAACCCAAGAAGATCTTCTCCAAGACATGTTATAGCCAGATTGACCAAAACCACAAAGACAAGATACTAAGATTGCCAAGAGAGAAACAGCAAGTTACCTACAAAGGATAACCCATCAGGCTAACAGCGGACCTCTCATCAGGAAAAACTGGGAAAATATATCCAAAATATTAAGGGAAAAGCAATTTCAACCAAGAATACTGTACCCAGCAAGATTATCCTTCATATGGGGAGAAAAGACAAGAACATTCTCAGATAAACAAAACCTGAAAGAATTTACCAGCACCAGACCAAATCTCCAAGAAGTTCTTAAGGGAATGCTATACCAGGAAAATTAAATACAGACACACGGAGATAAGAATTCAAGAACTAAGAAAATGGCCCAACTTAATTATAGAGACACGTCTGGAGTTGAATATTATATCCCAGAATTTAATTGGGAAGATCAGAGTACAACAGAAGATGAAGTACATGAGACTGAACTGCTGAAATAGCATTTTATAACTTTTGACTAAAATATTGCTGATTTTCTTCTAGGCTTTGTTTTCCAGTTTTAAGGATTTTTGTCCTGTTTTGAGCTGCCAGTAGGTACATGTACCTACTATTAGAGCGGAATCCTAACCTGTTTTCTGGTTTTAAGTTTTAAGTAAATTTTCTTAATATTTTTTTGATTTATTAAAGCTAAAACTGCTTTTCTTAAAACTAAAAATATCTTTTCAAATACCTTTTAATGACTATAGTAAGCTTTATAGCATT